GACCCGAGCGCTCCAGCCCGTGCCCGGTGGGCGCCTTTTACTTCAGAAAAAGGCACGAGGAATTGTGCTGGAGTAACCGGAGCGGGTGGGGAGTACGGGTGAGGGTGTGTGCTCACCTCCCTCTGCCGTTCTACTGCCAAAACCGCAACAAACAAAGCGCCTCAGTAATAAACAACACATCTGCATTTCACAGAAAGACTGATGGAAGACCTGTGCTTTGATGGAGCTATACGGCTAATAAATGTAACTGTGGGGCCAAATTAAAACAATGCAATAGGATCCAGAAGCCATCCGAGCAATTCCAGGACACAAAGCCACCTTTTAAAACACCGCAGCTCTGACCAAACGACATTGCTGCTAACTGCGCAAAGGCACTGGCGGTTTCTTTAGCCACAGAGCTGTCCTGCAGAGAAAAAACAACAGTTAACCCATGCCTTACCTTTCTGCATTCCTTACTCAGTGCTTCCTTGTACCAAACTAAGTGCAAGCCCTTTTTTTAGTTACCGATGGAGAAAAACTGAGTTTAAACGTCTGTGCAGTAAGCACTGCCGATAAAATTGTGTCTAACGCTACAAGGACATCTCTGCAACATTAATTTATGCTGGAAGTGTATCCTTGCAAGCTTAAGAATTTTAAAAAGTATTTTCTTCAAGTTTCCTACTACAAATACTCAGTACAAGTCTGAAATGGAAGTATATTCTGAAAAACTACCTACCAAACTAAAGCCACCTACTTCCACAGTTAAATTTCCCAAAGCATCCAAGCATATGAGATCTAAAGAACCCTGCAAGGATATTATCTCATGCCTGACATTTAAATTCCAATAGGATAGAGTTCTTCTGTTAAGTTTTCAGTTCTGAAATTTGCTTATCATGAATGTGGCAAAGCTACACAAATAGGAGAAACGGCCTTTCCCGGCCATTCCACACCTCTGGGTCTTGCCATGCTGCATCTCAGAACAGCTACAGCAATACGTCAAGTAAGGTTTTCCTATCTAGAAGCCAAAGAGAATGATCACGTCTTTAGGAATACACTCACATTTCCAGCTATTTTCTGATCAACTCCTGCACCACACTTGGAATGAGACACCTTCAATATTTGTACGCAAAGAAAAACATTTAAAGAGAGTTTAGACCAGAGGCATTTAAACAAAAAGCTTCCTTCAGATTTTCTTTGAGAGAAATCAAAAGACTGGACCCCTAATCAAGACTCTGTGCTGGCATTATCCTCATCAAAGGAGGACAGTGTTGAAGTTACATAAACCACAATACATTTTCATATGAAAATTCGTATTTGTGCACTGCTAGAGAATGCACAGCATTTCCATGTGGCAAATCTGGTTAATTTATTCAAGCTTTGATCCACTGAAAGAAGAGACATCATAATTACAAACAGTGGTACCTCTTTTTATTAGTACAGACAATATAAGATGCATAGCTTTTGCAATGAAAAATCATGTCCATGCTCTAAGACATCGGATTAACAAAACGTCCTCAATGTCTGCCTTGGACAGAGGCGCAAACTTCACAGTGTAAACTGATAACATAAGGATGATCATATGGCATTATTCATAAAACTCCCTGTTGACACCGTCAGACAAAAAATCTGCAATAATTAAATAGGATGTATTAAACTGCAGAATAGTTTCAAGTATTCAAGTACTTATTTTTTTTGGTTGTTTAAAACCTTCTGCTTCCCCTGCTCCTTCCCAAAGAGGCACCAGCCACATGGGTGAAGCTAAAGAATGCTTTTTTGCAAGACACCTGATGTTCTTCTAATGCAGAAATGCCTTCCCAGAAGCAAGACCGATTTTTCTTATTGCAATAGACAGCGGCAGGAATAATTTTACCTCTGTGAACAATACATATTTTTTTTTTTAAGTAATAAGTTATTACAAGAGAAGTTGAAGAAAGTTTTATGCTATTCGTGGGAATAGGCAATGAAAGAAGACGACAGTCTCAGCATTGCATAATTGTCCTCTCACAAACATGGGAGAACACACCTAAATCCTTTTGTTCTTAGTCTGACTGCCAAGAGGGCAGCTCCTGCACATTAATCCTAGTTAGGAAGAGACCTCATGAACTCTCCGATGAAATGCCGTTTCATGTACTTCAGCGGTTTAGCAGCCATTGTGTATTGACTTTGTCCACAAAGTCTACAAAGTGTCTGAGGCAGTCACCAGTTCAAACCACTGTCTGAGTGCATCACTGAGAGTTTCCGGAAGCGCGTTCACATCTCTAAGGATCATGTAGAAAGGGAATGGGAATTCCTCCATGTAAGATCTGATTTCAGGCAATTCTCCAGGCCCTTTGAATATAGGTACTTTAATGTCCAAAATGGAATCCTGTAAAAAAGAATTTACGTTACTACTAAACTACATGCATTTTTTTTACAGCCCTTTGATACAATTTATCCTATTTTTCAAATACTTATAATTCGTCCTCTGTTAAAGCTGTAAATGTTCAATGGTAAATCAAATCAAAAGCTGAAGACAAAGCAGTTAAATACTTTTGCCCTTTTAGATACAAGTGCTGTAATCAACAAACTCTAGGCTAAAAGAGACTAAGCTTAAGCTTCTGCAATACTAAGTTCCATAAATACATCATGTCTTTCCTTTTATGATTTGAGTTTACTGTTTCACTTTATAGTTTTATACATTAATGTCTTCCCAACACTCTGTCATCTGTAAGCTCTTTAGGGCTGAGTTAAACTTGCATTTGTGAAGTGATCTAATAAAACAAGACTCTTGAAATGTTATAAAATAATTGTTAAACATTTGTAAATACTACAAAGACAAAAATCAAATTAAATTCCAGCTGTACTTCTTGTAAAGTAACTTCTTAGTCGCTCAGTGTAGCAGCTCAGAAAATGAATAAAGCTTATGAAAAACGTATTTCATGGCCTAGATTTTTCACTTGACATTATAGTCAGGTTTCATCAGAACCTTGTAATAGTTTGTCAGCAAGAGAACTGTTAATTTTTCAACAAATATAGCAGATGAGTTCTGTATGGAAAAAGATACAGATAAAGAAAATGAAAAACAAACAAAACGTGAATTACAAAATTAGAGCCTTCATCACATAATTCAAAGTAAGGCTTAAGTTTGCTCACTTACTGCACTCAGAGCCTCTCTGAAAAGCTCCCAGATATTTCAGCTTCCCAACCAAGGAAATCTAAGTTTTCTTTCCCAGCTACCAAATGTGGTACCCAGCTTTCCCAAGTCTGGCACTAAATAACTCTCATATATCCCTTTCTGTCTAATGGTTAATTTCATATTGGCTTCAGCTGCCATATCAAATGGAGAGTGCTGTCAGAAATGACCAATTGGAATCAAAACTGAGATGGAACAAAGCATCTCTCAAACTCTGAATTTGTCAGCCTGTCAGCTACTTCTCTGGTGGCTGAAATCTACAGCCATTACAACTGAAGTCAGCAGCTCTTACTTAGCTTTTCTGTAGCATGGAAGCCAATTTTTTTTTTTTTAATACAAGAGGATAAGAATCACAGTAGGGAGAAGTCATAGAAGATCTGGCAGACATTGTGAAAAACTCAAATTGGGCTAAATGTCTTTGACATCTGCGAAAGATAAAATAGCTGTATAACACTATGCAAGACAAGAAAAAGATTTTTATCAGTTTCTCATTCACTGCAGTTGAATACTTCTCCCTTGTTCACTTACTTACCCGGGAATTAGGATTGTCCAACACTACGAAAATAACAAAGATGTTGGCATTCTGAGCTGCTTGAACTGCTGCTGTCACTCGTTCCTTGCCTTCCAAGAAAAGGCCTCTTCCATCAGATACAATCAAAAGCAGCTGTGCTGTTTCTGAGCACAAAGAACATGTAAAATTCCAGTAAGTTAGAGTAATTCATTTAAAAGCCAAAAAAGACTATTTTGTTGTTAGCCCTGTGGATATAATGGAAAAATTAGTTTTCCTAAGGAAATTAAGTCTTTCTCAAATAGAATTCAGTGACTTAACATTAAGCTGCAGTTATGAGTGGGTCAAGAAAGTAAGTTTTTCCCACTGTGTGAAACCATTGAGAATAACCGGGGAAAAAACCTCCAGTCCGTCAGTACCATAATCAAGGATGAAAGGCATGGAAAATACCTAATGAATTTAGTCACAGCCTTGTCTTTCATGCCTGCTAAGTGTCTAGGAGTTGAACATTGGCTGAATTGCAAGAGTCCAGCCACTAGATCACTACCTCAGTAGAGCAGCAGCTGCTGCCATGAAACAGAGAGAGTCCAAATCCACTCCTCAGAAGTAGGTACCTATGGGTTTCACCTGGGACTAAGACTGTACTTATGAAACATGTTTCCCTGTTGTCTCCACTTTAACAGGCTTGGCTTCCACCGGAGAGCAATCCTGGACTGCAGAAAACAGATTATTTTTGGAGGAAACTAAACCAGAAGATAGGCTCCAGAGGCACAGTCAAGGCAGTCCAACCACTATGGGGCATTCGGCCCTAGTGACCAGAGGGGTTAGTCTGAAGTACACCTCCTCAAACATCCACAGCACAGATGCTGGATTCTCAGCACCGACCATTTTCTGGAGAAGTGTCACTTGACACAAGTTTCCCCCAGAATCAGAGATACATCCCTTCCAAAGGGATGTTCTAACTAGGTTATGCATCTATCATCTTTTAATTACACAGGCAACAGCAGTAATTACAGTAGTAGGGAATGCAAGCCCTTCTCTCCTGTCCCCCCCCGCAGCGTAATGCCTAGGGAGGGATGCAGACGCTTCCTCTTTTTCTGCAGGCAGGCCCCAAACGTGACAGGGCGCCTTTTTCTTTTTTTTTTTTCACAAAAAGGGTGCTGTATCCTACTGCCTTTTCTCTTGCTAGCTCTCTGATTCCGGGGAGCTGATTGCTGCTCCTTGATTGCTACTGTACCCCAGCCTACTTCAACAGGACCGGATGCTGCTCCCCCTCAGAATATTCCGACAGCCTGGCCACCCTGTGGCAAAGCAGCTGTGGATTATAAATCCCAGACTGTCTGTTTTTCGGAGTACTTTAACAACAATGATTTTTAAAAATACGGGTGCCACCATGACAAGCTTTTAACTAGCACAAAGCAGCCTTTTAGGCTAACCATGAGTCAGCTGTGAAATAACAAGCCTTACAGCTTTTCTGGGAAATTCAAGCAGCTCATGACCTTAATTTGCACCACAGTGAAAGGCAGGTGGGAGGCAAACACTTCTCCTCCTCAGAACATTGTGCTTCTGGATACCTACAGAAACCAAGCTCTCAAGCAAGAGCAGAAGTGCCTAGGGAGTCAAGGTCACTAGGAAGCTGGACGATGTTCTAAAGCAGGCAGTGTCTAGGACTTAAAACACGATCTGGAAACATGACCAAAGGGAGGCAGGTAAGGCATGCCTTTTTAAAAAGCCTTATGCAGAATTTCAGTGAATTATTGACAAATAGGACATAGGTGTCCTTTGGGTTTTGAACTAAATCTCAACCAAACATTCCTTTTGACAGAGCAAAACCCAAAGCCCTAATGCAAGTGATGTCTCAGTTCCAGGAGTCTTTCTGGCAGGATATTGTTTCAGGACTGCAGTGAGTATTCTGCTGCCATGGCAACAAGCATAGTAACAAAAAAGCTCACCTGGATTAATATTTTGAGACAACTGCTGTGCTGCAGCAAACATATTTGCTGATGATTCTAGAAACTGCAGAGGAAACAAATAAGGAGATTAAGTTAGCATATCAAAAAATAATAAACTTAATAATGATGATATTTTTCAAGAACATATTTCTGTATTTTAAATGCCAAGATAATTTAGTCTTACCACCTGCACAGACACAGTCCTTGGCATTTTCCTGTATAACTCCTGCTTCAAATTTAGTATTTTTGAACTCAAGAATCTTTAGAAAAGCCTTCACCTTCAATCTGGATTTAAGTTTTTTCCAAAGCTAACATGGCCATCGAAACATCAGTAAACTGTTCAAGTTATTAATGGCATAATTAAAAATATCCATCCTATTTCTAGGTTGAACTTCTTTGGCTTCCACTTGCAACAGAAGAATCTAGTTACATATTCCTTATTAAAATTACGGACATCAACTGTCAAGTCCTCCCAGTTTTGACATTTGTAAGATTGTTGTGGAGCTTTTCCCTTTATTAGTAACAGAAGAGTTTATCCAAGTCTGGAAAGGTAAGAGTGCCAAAACTTTCCTAAAAGAAGAAAACTTTGCAGCTGTCCAGGAAGTATTACTACAGAAAGTTATTTTCTTCAGGAATCAGTCAAGTCTGACAAACTCACAGCCTGAGGAAACATAAAAAGCTCTTCCTTGTACTACTGCAGTGGAATCCATGGCATGAAAACCTCCTAAACTCCCACAAATGTTGACGGGATTTGGCATTGGGGTACAGACAAGAATAGGATTGGTAGCTTGTACCCAAAATACTGTTTAAGGCCCAATACAAATAGAGAAAGATGAATGCTTAAAAGTGGCATACATCAGAACTAAAAGTGAAAAAACACTCTTGCTATTAAAAAATCGTGACCATTCTTTCTCTTTGTTATTTAATCAGCTATCATACTTTCAAAATATAAACAACCACTACACGTTAACAAAGCAATCATGAAACCATGAAGCTGCTGATGTCTTGTCTGGAGAAGATTTGCAGACTTGCTGTCCTAAAGGCATTCTTGTGTACCTGGGCTATTTTTGTTTTCTTCTGCTGAAATTTGCAAAGACGCAATATCCGTGTCCCTGACTGGTCACTGAACTGTTCGTGGAATGGGTGCAGCAGCTGAACAGTCTCTCCAAAGCTTTAGAAAAGAAAAAAAAAAAAGAAAACAAACAGCGTGAAACCAGTACTTACATACCAGTACTCTGAAGTCTTGAAAAGTCACGATTTCAAACAAACTCACCTACACACAGCGATTTGTCCCACTTCTAGAAGAGTCAGTGCATTTCCAATAACTGCCAGGGATTCATATGCAAGCTATTAAAGAAAAAAGTTACATCAAAAATAGGATACTCCAAGTTTTACTCACAGCTCAGTATTAAATACGAAGAATGTTACTGAAATTATTTTTTCATTATCTGGTAAACAGACGAAGAGACTTGCTATTTTTTTTCCTGTTACAGTCATCCAAGATAGTCACTGCAGTAAAGAAACACTAGTTCTATTTGAGGGCTTCAGCTGATTGATTTAGAGATACCACTTTAGGCGGGCTAATGGAATAAACACTGAAATACCTACTTAGAAGGAAACACACATTTTTAATAAATAAAACCCCTCCAAGTGAGCTATGATGAACTAGTATTTAATCCTCCAATGAATGGCATAGCTAAGGAAGTTTCGGCCTTTTGTAGGCCACAAAAAAAAAAAAAATCCTCCAGTGGATATTACATTTCTAGAAAATTTAACGTCTCCTCCTTTCAGCTTTCACTGATCTTTTAGTAACAAATCGCTTAGGCAGGACGTGACGAGAGTTAAAGTGCGTGGACCAGAAAAGTAGCTGCTCTGTAATCACCACAGTCAGGCTTTGCAACAGCCACCAGCTCTGTACAAAACCAATCAGCAGCTGACATACTCATTAACCATGAATAGTTTCTTCATACTTCTTCCAAGGTTTTATTTTACCTGTTTAGAGTGGTTGTCTATCATACTAGAGGAATCATCAATAGCCAGGCAAATCTGGTACTGTCGTTTGCTGGGCTTGGTCCTTCGCAACCAGATCTTATCTTTTCTGAACTGACTGGCAATATAAGGAATCACTTTGCGCATGTTCAGTCTCTTCCCTGTTCTGTAGTCTCCTCTGAAAGTTAAGAAAAAGGACATAATGACAAGGAATAATCAGCAAATATTTCTTTCTGGAAATCCTGGGCCATGCAGCACACGCACCAAAATAACAAATGTTCTAAAATATAATAAAACCAAAATTAGTAGTTCTACTATTCATGCTTAGGTATAGATCAAAAAAGCTTTCTATTGAAAGATGGATATTCAGTGATTTTAAAAGAAGCTCTTAAATCTAGGTGCCTAAAATGGAAGGCAGACCTTGAATTTAGACTCCTCCAGTTTGAAACAACTCTAGGTTGTTTAAAAAAACCCAAAACGAACACTTAAATGACAAAATGCTTTATGTTGTTTTTGACATGAACATAATCTTTGACTCAATAGCACTCTGCACATTTAAGTTGGTTTGATCACTTGTTGGAGTGAAGAAAAAAAAAAAAGGAAGCAATATCCTCAGGATGGGTGCCTACTACTCTATCACGTTTGCATTTCAGGAAATAACCTAGGGTTTCCCATACAAAAGTAAAATGAATGCATTTGCAAACAGGAATAATTGCTATAAAGCAAGAACAACATACAGCTGCAGCTGTACTGAGGTCAAAGCCCCCAAAACCAGGAGTTCAAAGAAAGCAGAAGCCTCAGAAAGACCCAACTTACTTCAGTTTGGCTGCCTGAGTAGGTTCCAGTATGAGTCGCAGCTGTTCACAGAGCTGCTGTGATAGAGGAGCTGTCAGTACTAAATACCTCTGCCACAGCTGTGCTGCTTCCTTCTCCTAAAACATCACACACATCACAGAAAGAAATAAAAGTGAATTATGAAAAAAAAAAAAAGTTGGGAAGCACTGCCTGAAAAAAGAAAACAAACTTCAGTGTACTAAGGTGGAGGTAGTATGTAAGGATTGGCTGAAACTGCAAGGGTGTCTTGTGAGCACTCTACGAAGATGACAATTTGCATTCAACTTAGGATGCTCCTTACTGCTACAAAGTTCAACGTGCAATGATCGTTCCTCTAGGAGTACACAAAACAACTCTGGCATAGCTGTTGATACAGAAAAACCTTCTAAGCGCCACCATCTGATAGCGGGTATCACAGCAAGGCAAGCTGTAAAGTCTGCTCGGTTCTATATTGGCCATCAAAATTAAAATTAATTAAAATTCAGCAAAATTATTAAGCCTCTACACTGGCAATTTCATTCAGGAATTACTTCCAAATACAGTTTACAATTCATGACTAGGACAGTCAGAGCAAGTATCATTATAGTTCTGCTGTTGGTTAGCTCAAACTCCACTGCTGCAACTGAAGGAGACAGCTTCTGTTCATCACAGTTTTGTGGAAGAGGTGTCCAGCACTTAAGTGCAGGTGACAACTCGAAACAGAAGGAGCTTGGCAGGACTGAGTAAAATGTTTCTAACTATGCAAGTTTTAGAAGTCATTATCAACAGAGTAACTTTCTGCAAATAGCGCACAGCATGTTCAAAACAACCTGAAACATCATCCTGCGTTAAGAATAATGTAATTCTTTTCAGAATAAGTTAAACGTAACAACAAAAATAGCATCTAAATCATGCAATTTTGAATATTTAGATTCCAGCCTGCTTGGCTTCCTCAATGCTTCAGCAGTAAAACAAGATGAAGTAATGCAATGAAGGATTCTTAAGACAGTTTTGTACTACAATGAGGTCACAAACCTCATCTGGAGTTCCAGACTGCTGTGTCTGCCAAGCTTCCAATTGCCTTTCAAGTTCCTTTCTTAGCTCTTCAGGATCTCTGACGATGTGCTAGAAGTGTAGTTATATAAGATTTATGAGACAGAAAAATAAGTTCACACATGTGGTGATCCCTAAACTATAGCAAACTATTAAAAATGCATTGCTCTTATTCTTTTAGACACAGAAATATCTGAAATTACTTAAATGAAATTCTAAATCTTCATTTTTTTTAAATAGCTTTCATATACAGGAAGGAAAAATACCTCCCCACAAATACCTGCATCTGTGACACAATCAACATATAAACAAAGCTTGGAACATCTATTATACAGACACTGAAAATAATCAAATGCAGAACTTGAAGATAATTCAACGAAATGATCTTGACAAACACCAGATTTAATGACACTATAATCATAGAATCATAGAATGGTTAGAGTTGTAAGGGACCTCAAAGACCATCTAGTTCCAAGCCCCCTGCCATGGGCAGGGAAACCCTCCACTACACCAGGTTGCCCAAAGCCTCATCCAACCTGGCCTTGAACACTTCCAGGGATGGAGATCAAACTATTGAATACTCCCTATCTAGTATCTTCCAAAATAAAAAAACTATATTTAAGTGAAGCATATTATAAAAGCTTCATTCAAACCATTTAAAGAAGTGAATGACATCTTCCTCTTTACCTGCCAGCAAATACTATTTGACAAAGCCATTCTAATAAAGGACACCCAAGGTTTATTAAACTTCTTCAACGTCTATTGTGCTTTCAGTGACAACTTCTGTTCCTGACTTGTGAAACCACAGTTTAGCCAAACAGTACCTGTACGTTCTGCATAACCTGCAGGTTTACTGGATTAAGGAAAATAAGTCTGTGAATGCAAACTCAACAGTACCAATAACTCCTCATTCCTCAAGAAGCAGCAGCAGTTCCTCTGGCCACCTACTGCAAGTTTAAGCAGGGGAGGAAGAATGTACATGGAGGGGGCTTCTTCCCTCTTCCTTTTGCTGAAAGGCCAGAACTTGCACTTTTTCCCTAGCAACGTTTCTCTCTTCCTCTTTACAAGGTGCTGCAAGAGCTCCCCCTCCTGTTTCAGGTTTTGCATGTCAATTAAAAAACCCAAACAAAACAAGAACCACAAAAAAAGGCACCCAACTATTTTAACAGGAGAACACTCTTGCATTCAGCAGCCTTTTTCCAAAGAGCTGCCACATTTGGCATCAAGATGGAAATATTAGGTATAGCTGGCACACAGCTCCGTGTTGTGCGCAGAAACAGTAAAATGCCACTCTGCAAGTATGTACTCAGGACACAGTATTACAAGCACGAAAGGTCAATACTTCCAAAAAACAGGCACTGAAAATATTCTTACTTTATCAACTGGTTATCCACCATCAATTGCTTCTGTGCCACAGCTCCTTATGATAAAACGTACTTTTTCACAGCTAACGGTACGCACTGAGAAACTATGTGTTACATGGAGCTCTAAGATTTTTCTAGGCTATGATAAAATTTTTTGAATTGAGACATTCATAAAAGGCTCACAAAGGTTCTACAATATTTGCAATCAGCTTTTTTTAGGAAGTAACATACTATGATGAATTAAGTGAAGCCAATTCTTTGTCTACAATGGTGTTTTAAGGTCACTGATGCCTAGCTCTCTCATCACTCTTGAACCCTTTTTTTATCTTCAGGCCACACACCCTTTCCACTCTACCCAACCATTTGATCAGCAGATTCATCTGAGCATAACAGGTCTTGACAGTTAGAAAAACAAAAGTTTATTTTAAAAAGCGGCAGGATGGGACCTTTCCACGTAAGGATCAGGAGGACTTGTCATTTTGAAGTCATCATTGAGCTGCATATGCAAGAATTGGTTGTGTGTTACTTTTCATTCTGCTGTTGAAGAACAGCAAGCTACTGAGTTGTCTGAATGAAAGTAATTCTGAACTTCTGCATTCACAGTTTCATTAACACAGGTCAAATAAAACAGACTGTTTCTACTACTGTAGTTGTAAGACGACACATTGGGTATCATACCTGGGGAGTGTCCATCAAAAACTGATGGGCTGTATGTATGGTCGAGTCCTTGCTTCTCTCTGGCTTCTCTTCAGTCACCTTTGGTAGCTTTTCTGTTGTAGAGTCATTGACTTCCTCTGAGTCAAAAGTCTGGACCTCTTGCTCCACTTCACCTGGTCCTACAATCACAAAACTAATTACTAACTTTGTGGTCACACATAATACGAAAACCAATATTGTATCTTGACTTCTTTTTACAAAGCGACTCACATGCTTTGTAGTGCAACCCAGAAGTTGCACTTAAAGAAGTGCACAAGTTTTAAGACAATAAATCCTAGGAATAGGATGAATACGAGACCTTGCAACTCACTGGAATAGATAAATATGCATTTCCTTACGCAATCTGTTTTTCTCTCCTATTATAACCTTCTTGCCAAACGAACAAAATATTGGTGAACAGATCTTGAACACCTGAAAATTCCATTGGTGAAGTACAGTTTTGGAGCTTCATAGCCTCTCTGACAGTGACAGGAGATATAAAGCAGTTTGAGAACATTCAGAAAATCATCATTAAAAAGAAGGGCAATCTTTTCTTACCTCATTTTTTATTCTATAGTTTTCTAACAAAACAGTTTCCTACAAATCAGAAATCAATTCACAAATAAAGGAATGGACTAAAGATTGTCTCTTATTGTTTCTATTAAACTACACCGTTTAAGAACTCATTTTTGAAGGGTTATTCTAAGGAAAAAAAAAAGCATGACATTGTAGGAGATGTTTCAAAGATCCTGTTTTTTCAGAACATACTGTTAGAGAATCATGTGGAAAAACAAATAGACTGATTACATGCATGCCTGTACCATAAAGCTAATGAGTCTAGCAAGAGATTTAAGGGAAGGGATTAAACCTGAAGGGAGTGAGAAGCAAGAAGATGAATTCGGGCTGGTAAAACTCTTGACTCCCCTCTTCAGCCAGCTTTTGTGTTGTTTGGTAAGAAAACAATTCAAAATTCCACGCTAGTGTCATTTACTTAGATTCATCAAAATGAAATGCTTCTGTTGCAGTTGACGAGACATATTTATTTTTATCTCACTTATTTTGTTTGTGTGGGCTGTGTGGTTGAACAAGTCAGACCTATCTGCTTCTCATCTACCAACCACTCACATCGGATAGCCATTTTCTGTTAGACAGTGCAGTTTTGTTTTGTTTCATTCCCACTTAAAGGGAGAAAGCAGCAAGACAGTGACACTTTGGTGCTACCTCACCAATGTTGTTCAGACCAGCTCCTCAACTTCTTGGTGTTTTGTCAGAAGTTACACACAAAAAAAGTCGGAGTTATGTGGTACTGGAATGCATTGTTACGTGCCAATTAATTAAGTGAATTGACATTTTGTCTAACAGCAGGAAAGTGCTTTCTTTTTACTTCTTCAAAGCAGCGGATAAAGATTAGAGACCATTAACTTGAAAGAAAGCAGCAAACCCCTCTGTCACTCAACCAATTTAGCAAAGGCTAATGCTGGTTGTTAGGCAGCAGTTAAGAATACTGCTGCAGAAAAGTCAATTAAGAGCAGATGTTTTAGTCTTATAAACCATATATGCATCCACTACATGCAAATATAAATACCTACATATACACTTAAAGATGCACATCAGCATGTGTTTAGAATGTTTTTAAGTTAATGTACCAGGAGTTTTAGAGGCAGTAGTCGTCTTTTTTTCTGGCTTCAGCTCCTCTGTGTCTACTGCTATGAGATCCTCATTGTTGTGCGTTTCTGTTTCCATAGCTGCATCTTCAGAATCTCCCTCTTCCTTTTCTTCAAGAGGCATAATAGGTTTCTCTTGCTCCTTGCTAGCTACGTCTGTATAGAGGCAACAATTAAGGGAGAAGAGGAAGGAAAATTAGTGAAGTTGCAAAAAAAAATGTTGCATTCTGAAGCCACTCTGTATCAGTTTTAGTGAACTTCAGAAGACATCTGAGCTATTATCTAAACCCTCAGGTTTACCTTTCACTGTGCTGTGCCCTGAAAAACTAAAGAATAAAATAGACTAGTTACTTCAATAGAAGGCAATTTTATTTAGTTAAATTTAGATCAGAGGAATATTTTTAAAGAGACATCAATTTGTTTGATACAGAATAAAGAACATGTTGTGTTGTCCTAAATATTTTGCATATATGGTAGCAGTCTGGGCTTCAAAATAGTTGAAGTAAGATTTGAGAAGAAGAGATTTTAAATATGTTTATTAAACTAAAATCGATTTTTATGAGTCAATTCAGTATTCTCAAAAATGTTATCGTTAGTTTGAACCCGATTGCCAAAGAGCAGCATTTATTGTAGCGAAATGGTGCTACATCTTAAACCAAAGCAAGGACTGTTAAACATAACTTTAAAAAAAATGTACTAGGAAAAACTACAGTAAATAGGAGCACTTCAGCATTTGATTCTGCAATGACAACTCTTTCCACCCAGAAATACCACCGTACCGTATGTCTGTGCATCATAGCATTCAGAGCCTTGTTTAATATGTTCAAATGCATCAGCCTCCTCCACGTTTTGTTTAGGCTGAGTTGTATCCTGCTTTGCTTCACTGCTGGATTCTATGGTTCTCAGTCGCTTGTGAACATGTTCGTTGTGATCTCCCATTGAGCGCTCATTGTCTGCCTGACCAAGTTTCCTCTTGAAACTCTGAAAAAGATCAGATTAACACTGTGAACTTCAAGTGAGATGCAACTAAACACTGATTATAACAAGAGTTATAACAAGGAGAAACTTGAGTCCTGCCTATTTGCTGTTAATATTAAATCATTACAATCAAGCAAACAAACAAATAAATAAATAGATTAATGAAAAGAAGTTATGAACCTGGGTATTTTTTCTGCTTTGCTTCTGAGAAGCCATCCGGGCCATGCGCGTGGATTCATGGCCTTCTGATTGATTTGCACTTGAAGCCCCACTTCCGTATTCCTGAGAGACCGAAAAAATTGCAACGGTAACTGAAAAGCGATGTAGCAACTGTTGTAGACAAATTTGAGAAGTTAAACTGCAATGCTGTGCTACCTTCTAATGTGAATGATGAACGGCTCACAACTGCAAGCATTATTCTTGTGGAGACCAAAGAGGACAGTTCTGTAGCTAAACAGCCTAAACTTACCATGCAGTTTTCACTGCTCTGAGGACATCTACATGGTCTTCAAATTTTTTCAGTGAATTTATAATTGGGGTTCTAAAAATTGAATCTTAGACACAATTCTTAAAAATATGGCAGCAACTCCTTGATCGTAACTTGAAAACATATTCACAAGTTCAGCATTTTTAACTAGGAGACTTCCATGTAATAGTTTACCTCTTTAGACTGGTCTCTTTCTGAAGCCTCTCCAGCCAGCTCGACAGCACTGTCACTCTGCAGGTTTTCTTGCCCAGTCTGCCCTTGTGTTTCATGCTCCATTCGTTCCTCAGGCTCAGGGATCTGTTCATCCATCTCTGAATTATCTTTACCCTCTTCTTCCTGAAATAACATCAGTTTATTTTAACATTCTAAAAAACATTGGGAAACAGAAGGCCAAGAAGGTAACAGGAATACAGATGACAGAAATACACTAGTTTAACAGTAAGCACATCTCTTGTTATCTTGATGAAGATTCCCACGGACATTGCACCTACTCAAAGTCAAATTTGTTTCAGAGCATCACAAAACACATCCATTTCTTAAGTTTTGTAAAAGGTAATTAAAAAAAAAATAAACAAAGGAAAACCAGGCTTTTATTTGTTATTCCCTACCTGAGGTTGAAAGCCTTGGTCAGCAGCGGGGATTCTCTTCTCTTCAGCAGATTCATTTTTTTCCTCATCAGGTGGTTTTGACTCTTCCTCTTCTGCTGCATCCTCAGTGTTCCCTGCACTTTCTTCTTGATCATCAGCATCTTTGTCCCCCTCTTCTTCCTTCTCCTCTTTATCTTCAGAAACGCCTTCTTCTGCTGGTTCTGCATCTTGATCATCTCTTTCTGTCTCACCAGTATCCTCTTCATTCTGTTCTTCTGTCTTCTCTGTCTCACTTAAATCAACAGGTTTCTCGTCTACTTCAAAAGCATTCTCTTCTTCTGCATTAAAAAAATCAGAAAGGTATAAAAAAAAACTTTCAGTGAAGCACAGAGACAGTGAATATTACAGATATTTGGAATAAAACTGCCCAGTCTATCAAAAAAAAAAAAATTAAAGAAAATACTGAGAATCCTATATATAGAATCTATGATTTCCTATAGCATATAATTTAAGTCACAATTGGTTTATAACTAACAATAGAGCAGGATGAATTCCTCTTAACTTCCTTTAACCTAATATTCTTTAGGGTCAGCTGACTTTGTGTACAAATGCTTTTAAGTATCATAGAAAAAAATGAAAACACAAAAGCAACTGGACAATCAAATAAGGAGCTTCTAGCATAAATCAGGGTGTATCATCTAGATAATATGAGAAATCCTGCTCCACAACGTGCATGAAAGAGAGGTAAAGGAAAATGCTGTAATGGTGAGTTCTTATCTGGACTGCATTTGGTATCTTGGTAGTTTGATACACAGAAGTGAATCTGCAGCTTCTTGTTATACAGAATCCTATCACCACCTCTCTTCTTTCTATAGAGGAAGAGAGCTCATTATCTGACTGTTCCTCCCTATTTCCATTTGGCTTTCATCTGGGAATCTGTAGAGAGATTTCCAGCTGTACCTTCATCCTCTTCCTCCTCATCACTCTTCTCATCATTCTCCAGGTTCAAATTATCAGGAAGGTCCAAAGGTTCAACTTCAGGCTGCTTTTCTTGCTGGCCATGATAAGGATCTATTTCATTCTCATCATACTCCCGCTGTCAGCAAAAGAATGGGGGGGAAAAAAAGCAAACAGATATGTAGTAAGCGGGAGGAAAGGCAAAGATGAGAAATAAGGTATTACTGAATTCTCTAGGACACAGAAATACTGGATACAATATTACATTCTGATCAGTTAAAAATGAATTTTCAGTGGTACACATCCTCATGTATAAACAGCAAAAAAAGATTAATTTTGGCGAATGCATTTACATAAATTGTTACTTCTTCAAAACAGCATGTTTTGTGTTCAGAATCCAGTTTTCCTAGCTGAAAGATTCTGAGTCTGTACCCTTGCAGATGGTAAATGCACTCTTGAATACTACGCAGAATCTTCAAGCATAGCGTATATAGATTTTTGGGATGAGTCCCACTGACTTAAGATGTTTCCGTTGCTAAACACAACAGAAGAACTTTCAAGCATTGTCCATCCAAACATCAATTCAGTGTAAAGCCTGTTTTAAACAGCTGTTACAATTCAAGTCAGTATAAACAAGAATTCTTTTTGGATTATGGATCAGAAAATATACATATAATATAATGGATACAATATGGTTTATTTTTAGCTCTGAAATAAACTAATTTTTTCACTATTAAATAAAGAGGATTTCAAATTCTCAGAAACATGATGTGAGCAACAGAATATGGTTTAACAGTAAGATACTCTATGTAGTCCAAATCATTTTTACCTCATCAATTTGTTCATGAATTTTCTCTTTGTTTCCACTGTCATCATCTTGTTGCTCTTCTTCCTCATCCTTGGGAGGCTGTTTTTTATTATCCTTGTTCCCTGTGCCCAAATTGTCATCTTTCGCAACGAGCTCTGAATCCTCCTATTAACCAACAAATCCAGAAGAAACTCAGTTATGCTAACTGCTTCTAAGAGTCTGAGTGACAAGACATCATATTCTACAGAAAAAAAACCCAACACTAAATAACTTGTGATATACTCAAATTATCCTTTTCCAAGACCAAGAGCTATGCAAGGGAGTTCACGGTCTAGGTCACATGAAGTTAACAGAGTTTAATTCCTTTGATATTCTTCTTTCCACCCCTTCTCTCTCTACCTCATCCATTCCT